ATGGCATCAGCAGTGACACCTCAGCCTCAGCAGTGACACCATGGCATCAGCAGTGACACTATGGCATCAGCAGTGACACCATGGACTCAGCAGTGCCATCCCAGCCTCAGCAGTGGCACCATGGCCTCAGCAGTGACACCATGGACTCAGCAGGGACATCCCAACCTCAGCAGTGACACCTCAGCAGTGCCAGTGATACCTCAGCAGTGCCATCTCAGCCTCAGCAGTGCCATCGCAGCCCCAGCAGTGGCACCATGGCCTCAGCAGTGCCATCTCAGCCTCAGCAGTGCCATCCCAGCCTCAGCAGTGCCATCCCAGCCTCAGCAGTGACACTTCAGCCCCAGCAGTGCCATCTCAGCCCAGGGAATTTGGTCCCACAGGCTCCTCACTGGATGTGGCCTCTGGTAACCAGCCCAGAGGGTGTGGAAAAGGAATTTTACACCATGTCCACTCTGCAGAGGGGACATACTCTTCCTCTTCTTCCCCCCACCCTCACTGAGTAAGCAGCTAAATAGGAATCTGCAAAAGAGAAGGGAATTGCTGCCAGGAGTGGCTTGGAATGAAAAGCTGGTTTTGGGCTTATCTAATGTCACATCAGCCATTTCCTAAGAAGGGAGCAAATTTAATTAAGAACACAGACTCCCTCAAGGACAGCCAGGTTACACAGAGCACTCCCAGCCTGGAACACAGCGCTGGGAGGTCGGGATTGTGCACACAGGCAGTGAGAACAGACACTCCAGCCTGGCTGCTGAAGGGATCCAACTGTTTGGGATGAAATGCAGACACCTGCAGGCACAGCACCCTGCTCTCTGCAGGGCAGCCAGAGCCACCACAGAGGGAAGGAGCAATGCAGGTGGCATGGGGAGGAAAGGGGAGGCAGATCTTGGACATGGAAACAAAGCCAGACTGGGAGCATAAAAATGTCACAGACATCTTTTATGAAAAATCCTTCCCTTAGGGTTTTTCCTCCTGAGAAGCTGAGAGGCCTCAGGAGCAAAATGTAAACAATGGTTATCTGCTGCTGTGGAATGCAACAGGTGCATCTGTGATTGGTCTCATGTGGTTGTTTGTAATTAATGGCCAATCACAGTCAGCTGGCTCAGACAGAGAGTCTGAGACACAAACCTTTGTTATCATTTTCTTTTTCTATTCTTAGCTTAGCTAGCCTTCTGATGAAATCCTTTCTTCTATTCTTTTAGTACAGTTTTAATATAATATATATCATAAAATAATAAATTAAGCCTTCTGAAACATGGAGTCAGATCCTCATCTCTTCCCTCACCCTGGGACCTCTGTGAACATGGTCACATAAAAATCCTACACAGAGACTTTGGTGGCTGCAGACACAGAGGGATGATCCCTGACCAAGCAGAGCCTGTGCCAGCTGTGGGGACATGGCCCATGCCATGGCACAGCCTGTGCTGCTGGCTTTGCTCAGCACCACCAGTGGCAGGAGCATGACAGAGCTCCCAGGGGTGGTGGTGCTCAGAAAGAACCCACACAGCCCATTGTGAGCATTGCTGGTGCCTTTGCTCAGCAATTCCTGCACAGCACTGCTGAGCCTGGCACAGACAGGAAGCCTCCAGAGCAAGGTGCCCACACCAGGGCAGCACATCCCACCAGGTCCAGCTCTACAGGCTCCTGCCACAGAACAAATATTCACATTTCACAGTCTGCAGCATGTCACCTGCACTGAGAATTCCTCAGTGCTGACATCAGCTGGCAGGAGCAGGTGAGGCAGGGCCAGGCTGTCCCCAAGGGCAGGGAAGGACAGACAGGGGCAGCCCGTGGGGTGCAGGTGCCACCTGCTCTGCTGCACCCCCACACTGACCTGAGGCCACTCCAGCACTGCCCCCAGCCTCTGACAATGACCAGGGAAAGGTGACCCTGCCCCAGCACAGCCATCTGCTTCCCCAGGGCTCACAGGGTCAGCAACTGCACCTGGACCACGATTTCTGACAAGTTATCACAATTTTTGACTTTGTTATCACCTAAAGCTGAGTCATCTCTCTCCCAGCCACAGTGGTACAGAGCTTACCCCCTCACCTCTGCACAAACCCAGGGGCTTCCAGCAGGCTGCACATGCAAATTTAAAGTAAATGTTGTCTTGAGAAGGGCAGGAAGGGTTCCCTTCTCCTTTCTTCTTGTGCTGTTTCCTACCCTGGAACCCCTGCATTTCCCTGGGGCACACAGGAAATATGACTGAAGGGCAAAAATCTGGTACAGCACTCTGTCTCTGATGGAAAAATAAAGACAGATGAAAACAGCCAGGCTGTTATAAATACATCTCATTTTAATCACCTGAAATGAGTTCCCTGGCTTCCCCCAGCCTGCTTGGCAGCAAGTGCATTTCCTTCTGCCACTGAGGGCTTCCACAGCCAGTCCCCTGCTCCTGCCCCATCCCCTGGCACTGCAGCAGGGCTGCAGGACCCAGGCACGTGTGGCTGGCAGGGACACAGGGGGACCCTTGGAGGCCAAGCTGGGGCTGCTTGGAGGCCACCACAGGCACAGGGAGCAGCAGCAAGTCCAGTTCCACTTGTGGGTGGTCCCTCCCAGAGCTGCCTGGAGCAGCTCCAGCCTCTGGAACACATCAACAGGGAGAACAGACAGACAGAGGAGCTCAGGATATTCCTAAGTCTTTGGAAGGGTTCTCAGCCTCATTTTGCCCCGAGAAATCCCCAAGATGCAGCTACTTGCAGTCACAGCTTGAGGCCAGGCCCAGAGAGGAAGGCTTGGCGAGGAGAGCCCAGACTGCAGCAGGGAAGGGGAGGAGGAGGCTGCTCTCAGAAGAACTTGACTCCTCGGCCATCATCCAGCGTGATAATCTCAGCCTTGTGCTCCTGCTGCAGGGCCTGCAGGGCACGGAGCAGCGTGGCCTCATCCAAGCCATGGAACTCTAGGGAAGGACAAAGATCCCCATCAACAGCAAGGAAAAATAACAATAATATAAACAAAATAACAATAACAAAATATATATTATATATAATATATTATCCTATATTATTANCAGGGAGGGCGACAGCGACCGCGACACGGGCAACGAGTGGGCCTCCAGCTCCTCGGGTATGGTCCTGAGACACCCCACTCCTCTCTGAGGGCAGGCAGCTCCTCCCAGCTGGAGTTCTCCCAGGCTCCCCTCTGCTTTCCGCACAGCTGGAGAATTTGGATTAGCAGTCAGTGTTCCCAGCAAACATGAGGGTCACCAGCCCTGCCCTTGCTGCTGTGGGATTCACTGCCCTTTCCCAGGAGGGAGGAATGTTGCCAGGCAAAGCAAGAGCTTTGCTGGGACCTGCAAAGCCCAGAGCAATCCCGTGGCTCCTGAGCACTGTGCCTGGCCTGAAGCAGGAGTGTGAGGCTGGGAGTGCAGTGCAGGGTTGCAGGGCACTAGGGGGTGACCACTGCCCCCCAGAACCATGATGGCCAGGCTGTGTTTGGCTTACCATGTGCCTTTCCTGCCAGAGGCCAACTCCCGCTGCCAAACGCCCACAAAGCAGAAGCTGAGCCCGGCCTCCTCCCAGCTGTTTGCGGTGGAGACGCCGCAGGAGCCCGTGGAGTGGACAGGAGCTGAGGAGTCACTCTTCCGTGTCTTCCATGGCACCTACTTCAACAACTTCTGCTCGATTGCCAGGCTGCTGGGGACAAAGACCTGCAAGCAGGTGGGTGCCCAGAGCAGGCAAGAGAGGGGCCAGAGCTGCCTGTTGGTTTTGTTTCTCTGCCACAAAGCTCCCCACAGGAAGGTGCCACATCAATGCTTTTGGAGCTCAGGGTGTTACTGTGCAGCAGTGCTGCTGTTGGCAGAGTGAGCCCTGTGTGCTGGCATTGTGGGTTCCCTCCCAGGTGTGCAGGCACTCCTTTTCCAGGCAGGAGGAGGCAGTGTGCCATAGGCAGGAAAATGGGGCAGAGCTGCTGCTCTCTGAGCCCAGGCCTGGGAGCCTTGCTGTGCTTACTCACACTCTCCTTATGCTTTTGATAAAACAACTTGAGTGCACTGAACTTTTTGCTTATGTTCTTTGGTAGGTCTTTCAGTTTGCAGTGAAGGAATCGCTTATAACGAAACTGCCAACAAACGAGTTAATGAATCCATCCCAGAAGAAGAAAAGGAAGCACAGGCAAGTATTGGACAAGCTTGTTTTGTTCTTAAAATGCAACCAGATCCTCTGCTTTTTGTGCCAACGCATTCCCGGTAATCCCCATCTGGCTCCCATCTGTGAGCACGTCCTGCTGTCACATGGGGCTGCTGCTGCTGGGTGCTGGCCTGGCCCAGCTCCAGGGCTGCTGCTCTGCCTGGGGGCTCAGTGGCCCTGCAGCCCCTGGCTCAGCCTGAGGATAGGGCAGCACAGGCTGCTGGTGCTGGTGCCACTTCCCTAAGAGCAGCCTCAGCCTCAGCTCCCTTGTAACCCACTTTGTGTGTTGATCCCAGTGTGTCCAATATTATTCTGGCTCTGGTGTTTGGCTTAAAGAGCTCCTGCAGCTGCATCACTCTCATCTCTCTCTACTTTATGGTGGCTGCTGATCATTAATGCATGAATCTGCCAAGCCCATCTCTGCTGTGCTGGCTGCTGGTGCTGAGCAGCTCTGGCTGACTCTCCCTGATGGCTTACACATCCTCTCAACCTTCTCTGCTCCTTTTGCAGGCTGTGGGCTGCACACTGCAGGAAGATCCAGCTGAAGAAAGGTAGAGTTGGCTGTGGCTGTGTCATGGGAGGTTTGCAAGGGTTGAGTTCTCCAGTGGGGTGGCTGTGTCCTGCTCACCAGTCCAGCAGGTCCAGCAGCATGGAGGGAGTGACTACCCCTGGGGTGCCAGGGGCATCATGGCCATCCCAGTGCCCACTGAGGCTGAGTGTGCAGCAGGATTGGCTGCAGCCTGAGGGGAGTGTGCAGCCCTGCTGTGGTCAGTGGGCACAGCCATGTGTGTGTCTGTGGGAGCTGGGTGCTGCCAGGCTCCCTGCCCAGTGCAGGCAGACGGGCAGCTTGCACCTTCTCAGCTCCAGTGCCCTGCACTTGCTGCTTTGAACAGGTTCCTGCAACATGCAGCTTCCAATCTTGGCATTTCTCTTCTTGTTCTAGATAATTCACCAACCCAGGTGTACAACTACCAGCCCTGTGACCACCCTGAGCATCCCTGTGACAGCTCCTGCCCTTGCATCATGACTCAGAATTTCTGTGAGAAGTTCTGCCAGTGCAACCCTGACTGTAAGAAGAGGTCAAGGACTATTGGGCAGGAAAGCAGCCAGTTGTCCTGGCACAGAGCACAGGGAGGGTGCAGAGCTGGGGCTTGCTGGGTGCCTGCTTTATTCCTGCCTGCATTTACTGCTCTGTCCACCCACAGCAGCTCTGTTAGCAGCCTGCCAGAGTCCAAAAGGAGATGGTTCTGTGCTGCCATGCAGCTGTTGGCAGCTGAGAGCCTCCTGTTAGTGCTCATCCCTGTGTCAGTATCCTGTGGGTTAGGGTTAGGGTTAGGGTTAGGGTTAGGGTTAGGGTTAGGGTTAGGGTTAGGCTCTGCTGGTCCCCTGTGAGCAGGATGTGCCTCCAGCAGTTAGGCTGGGCGTTGGGTCACTGCTCTGCCGTGTTTGTTTATCCTATCTGGGCTTCCATTCCCAGCTCTGCAGTGCAGAAAACAGCCAGATTTTCTTCTGTCAATGCTCAAGATCTGCCTGGGGAGGAGCAGCTGGGGCAGAGAGCCTGCATGGCCCCTCTGTTCTGTGCCAAAGCTCACAGTGCAAACCCGCTGTGTGTGTTGCTGCAGGTCAGAACCGCTTCCCAGGCTGCCGCTGCAAGACCCAGTGCAACACCAAGCAGTGCCCCTGCTACCTGGCTGTGAGGGAGTGTGACCCTGACCTCTGCCTCACCTGTGGGGCCTCAGAGCACTGGGACTGCAAGGTGGTCTCCTGCAAGAACTGCAGCATCCAGCGAGGCCTCAAAAAGGTATTGACAGCAGTGGGCTGCCTCAGGGCAGAGCTGACACACAGCTGCTGCTGCTGTGTGTGGAGGGGGAGCAGCTTCCCTGGAGATGCTAGAGTCTGGGAAAGAAGCTGCTCTGTCGTGGGACTCTGCTGCACTTACTCTGGAGTAGGGACTGTAGATGTGAAAATCAGGAGGGATTGTGGATGTCAAAATCAGCAGATGGGAGTTACATGAGGAATGGTGAGAGCAAGAGAATGTATAAAGTGGCTCTAGAGGAAGATTTAGTCTTGAATTCTGCTGGTCAGAGCAAGGAATTGAGCATTTAAAAGAAGGGAAATTCAGAGAAAGTTGCAAATCAGTGTGTGTCAGGTCCTGTGCAGCTCCATGTAATGGTGTAAGTCTGTAGGGAGCTGTGTCACCATAACAAGGGGATGCTGGATGGACACTGGCTCCCTGCTGCCCCCATGGACCTATATTTTGTGAAGTGCTGTACCTGCCAGCTCTCCTCATTTCCTTTCATTTGGTTCCAGCATTTGTTGCTGGCCCCATCAGACGTGGCTGGCTGGGGGACATTCATCAAGGAGGCGGTGCAGAAGAACGAGTTCATCTCCGAGTACTGCGGGGAGGTCAGTGCTGTGCTGGGGCTGCTGGCCAGGCACACGGGGGCTGTGTGTGGTGGGAGAGCTTCCTTTGGCTGTGGGGTCAGCTGCCTTCCCTGGCTCTGCTGTGCCCATGGGCTCTGAGCAGGTCTGGACATGGAGCCCTGTGCTGTCTCAGTACCCCTGGCCTTCTGCTGTGGAGGAGTGTGCTGTGTGTGTGCTGCTGCCTGAGAGCTCTGCTCTGGCCCTGCCCCATCCCTGGGAGCCCTGGTGGGAGGGAGAGCAGGAGGGTGTTTCCAGGGGCAGCCCTGGAACCTGGCTCAGCCCTCAGCTGCTGAGTCTCTCAAGGTGATCTCCCTCTACAGCTCATTTCACAGGATGAGGCTGACAGGCGAGGAAAGGTCTACGACAAGTACATGTCCAGCTTCCTCTTCAACCTCAACAATGGTAACTTTCTGAGGTTTCCAGGGGTGGAGAGGCCAGGTGGGCAGGCTCAGCCCACCTCTTGCCTGGTGCCAGGCCTGGCCTTACACCATGGTTTCCTTCTCTTTTTTCTTTTTATAGATTTTGTTGTTGACGCTACTCGCAAAGGAAATAAAATCCGCTTTGCCAACCACTCGGTGAACCCCAACTGCTATGCGAAAGGTGAGGTCCCCCTGGCCAGCCAGGCCAGGCAGGACATGGTGTGTGAGAGCTGCAGCCCAGGCTGGGACTGCACATCTCTGATGTTGCATCTCTGATGTTGCATCTCTGGTTGCAGTTGTGATGGTGAACGGAGACCACCGCATTGGCATCTTCGCCAAGAGAGCCATCCAGGCAGGAGAGGAGCTCTTCTTTGACTACAGGTACCTTGGCCAGCACCAAACTTGGCCTGCAGGGTTGACCCCACCTCTGTGCAGGTTTGTGGGGGCAGCATTGCTGCAGCCATGCCTTGTGTCCTGTAGGTACAGCCAGGCAGATGCCCTGAAGTATGTTGGCATAGAGAGGGAGACGGACATCATCTAAGCTCCGGGGTGGTTCTGGCACACCTTGCTGCTGCACCTTGTAAGCAATGCCATGTTTGCTTCACGCTGACATGACTGCTGCTGTTCCTGCTGCTGTGTGTGTCACAAGTGCTACTTTCCATCCAGACACCAGAGAGACTCGGGGCAGGAGTGTAAGCAGCCCCTGGGCCATGGCTGTCCCAGGGTGGGATCCCCTCTGCCCCAGCTGGCTGGGAAATGGGGACTGCCCAGCTGTGGCTGGAGTGGCACCAAGGGATGCCTGGGGATGGGAGAGCAGCACTATGCAATATGATACTTTGAGTAGGGGTGCCACTGAGCTGGGTAGAGAATGATGTTACAATCCCTGCCTGTTGTGACCCAGGGGGGGCTTCTCAGAAACCTTCCTTGAGCTTTGTGACCCCCTGGCCCTGGGGATAAAGGGGAAATATTCTCTGGCAGGGTGAGGTTTGGCCTTGCACTCCATGCAAAAAGGAAAGAAAAAAGCACTTTAAACTAACCCTCAGCTGGTGGCTGGGCCCTGTATTTTGGGGTGGAGGGACTGCAGGCATCCCAGGTGTCCTGCACCTGTCAGCACCTTTGCTGGGATGTTGCTCCAGGGCTGGGACAGGGCAGGCTGGATGGGGCTGGGCTGACCTGAAGGTTGGGGCTGTCCCCTGAGAGCCTCATACACCACCAGCCTCCTGCCTGGCCTGGTGCTGGGTGCTGGGCTGTGCTCCCACTGTCCAGGGCTGGGTTCCCAGGGTGACATGGGGAGCCTGACTGAGCCCTGACCTGGCTCCAGGGCCCCAGCCCGCTCCCAGCTCTTTAGTCCAGGAACACACAGAGCTGCTGGGTTTGCCTGGGGCCCAAGCCCTCCCTGGCCCAGCCCTCACCGTACTTTCCCAGTCCCCTGCCACGGCAGGCCAGGCTGTGTGTCTGTCCTTCCTGTTGTCCCCTGGAGCATGGAGGTGTTTAGGTGTGTCTGGAGCAGTGCTTGTATCCCAGCACCTGCCTGAGCCTTGCTCCCTGCCACCTCCATCCAGCCAGCTCCTGCCAGCCCTGCTCTTGCCTAAGCGTCTTCTGCCACTTTGGCCATATCTGCACTATGCCAGGCTTGTGTCTGTGGTTTGTTGACAGTGAATAATGGTAATAATAATGCACTTTAAATAACATGGCTTGTAGCCTTTGTCATAATAAAGTGGTAGCAAAGACCCTCCCTGGCTCCTGGCCTCTGTTACCCTGGGCACCAGCCTGTCCACAGACTGTCCCCTCCCTGCTGGGCTCTGCCCAGCTGTCCCCAGCGTGGCTCCCAGGGTCCAGGGGGACAGAGTGACCCTGTGCTGCCAGCTGCCTGATCACACTGGCTCAGGGTGGGAAGTGGGCAGAGCAGGACATGATGTGTGTGTGCAGCAGCAGCTGAGCTGCCTCTAGCCCCGGCTGCCTACACCCTCCCTCTCACTCCTGGACCAGGAATTGCTGTTGCCAATGTGGTGCCTCCCTTGGTGCAGGCTGAGCCAGGGTGGGAGGAGAGGATCTGCCCAGGCTGCCAAGGTGAAGGCTGGGGAGTGTCAAATGCCATCATTCTGCCTTTATTTGATTATCTTCACATCTCATTCAAAAGAACAGACTTTTTAAAAATAAAGTGCCCAGTGGAGCCAGGCCTTTGGGTAGATAAATGCATATCTGTAACGTTGTCTTACCACAAACACAGCAAGTGAACAGGAGCTTTCCCTGGGCTGGAGGTAATCGGCAGGACTGGCACTTCGTACAGAGAAGTAGCAAACTACAGACCACGTACCACGACACGCGGGGGCCTCCCTCCCGCGGGAGCTTCCGCTTGGTTTTTTATACAAACCGAGAGAATAAAAAAACCAGAGTGTAGTAGAATATCCAGCAACAAAAAATGGTAGAAAGGATCTGTACCTGATTTATGAAAGCAGCATCTCAGCAAGGTGCGGTGGCGGCATGCGCGGCGCCGGTGTTGGAGTATTGCTGGGCAGCGCNCCGAGGGGCCCCGGGGCTGCTGTGACAGACGCAGCCGGAGCAGGAACATTTGCTTTCAACATTTCCTCGGAGTTTCTGCCTCTGGTCCTGCTGCCGGGACGCGAGTTCCCCCTCACGCTGCCCCGCTCGGGGTCACTACGGTCCGAAATCCTGAAATTAGGGTCAGGCAAATAGGAAGAGTCGAAGGTGTGTGTCAGCCCCGCGGGAGCCAGCGGCCGGACAAGAGCGTGTTGTCTGTCCAGGCTGAAGGAGAAGGTTGTTCTGCCGGTGAGGCTGTTTACACAAAACACAAAGCAATTGAGGCCAGCGCTGATTTCTTTTCCCTGAGGTCAGATTGTTTCTACTCAACGATACCGGAAACATTAAGGAGTGGATGGGCAGGGGAAGGCGGTCACGGGCTCCTGAACGCCAGGCTGGCACCCGCGGGGTGACCGCGGCTGCTGACCTGCCCCACGTCCCGCACGGCCGCTCCCCGCAAATCCCCGCTGGCAAGGGGGAGGGACAAGTGTTTAATGAAGTGCTCCTGACCGATCTCTGCTCTGTTACCCCCATCCAACCTGCCCGAGGAACCGGGTACCTCCTTCCCAACCGGGAGTTTGAGCGATGCCTCTTGTTGGTGAGCAGGGAGCAGCAGCCACAACCCCACTCAGCCCTGCACCCTTGGAGCGTGTGAGGGGCTTGGTTCCAGCTGAACAAGCAGCACTGGCTGAACACTACGTCCAGCACCTCTGCCAGCTGCTGGGGCACCAGGTGCCACTGAGCCCAAATGCCAGGACTGACAGGCCACAGGCACGTGGGTCACTCTTAGGCTCTAGGATGCAACATGGTTTGACTCAGTCCTGTTAGACAACGCTCTCTGTTCAGGTGAGCCTTGCCCAGAACCTCCTCAGCATGGCCAGAAAGGGGGACACATCCCTGCCAGGGGTCCCCTGCACTGCCCAGGCTGGCAGGGAGCCCCAGCTCTCCAACAGGAGACACAGAACCAGGCAGGGATCTCAGCCTGGTCCCTGGCAGGCTCCTGTCTCCTTATCAAGGGTTTCCATCGTGAAACAAGATGCCTTGGAAGATCCCAGAGGAGCAGGGGAGTGTTCCAGTCCAGTGAGGCCCCTGCAGACAGGAGAGGAAATTAGGGGTGAGGTTTGCTCCAAGTGCTGCCCTCCCACACCTCCCTTTGTGGGCGATCTGAGAAATTCCCTACATGATCCCTCCAAATGCCACTCCACAGCTCGGGCAGGGGAACAGGTCCTGTCCTGACCTGGCCAGGAACACCAATCTGCAGCCAGCTTGGCCTGAAAGCACAGGGCTCATGTTCCACAATCAGGAGCCCACTGCAGCTCCCCAGCCTTATCAGGGTGACATTTCTGGGCTGCAGGTGCCAGTGCCAGGCTTCACTTTGAGGCACCGCCACAATCAGGGAACATAACCCCATTTCTCGCCTGCATTTGGCTGCCAGAAGGAGAGCAGGGGACTGAGTAATCACTCTCCTCAGAATTAGATCATGAATCAAAGCCCTGCTCAGCTCCAGGCTCCACCAAGCCCTGCCAGGAATTGTCTGTGTGATGCCAGAGCTTGGGGCAGGAGCACAGTGGGGCCAGGATGGGTCTGGATGAAGGGGATGCACAGCTGGGGATGCCCAGCACAGGGTGCCTGTCCCAGGAGGCACCCAGGGCTTGTTCCACTGTTGGTTTCACCACCCCACACCCATGGAACCTTCTGTGTCTCTCATGTGAGTTCAGGGAGAGGTGGAGAACCACCCAAACCTCAGCTCACTGGGCAGATCACTGCAGAGGATTTCCTCAGCCCGGAGGCACAGATGGGACCCACCTGCACGTTTATCCCGACATAAAAAGTTATCAAACTGAAACAGTGCCTGCTCCTAAGCAGCTGCATTAAGGAAAATCTTTCTCAGAATCTTTCCTCCTTCACCAGCAGGATCCAAGTGTGCCCAGCCTGATAGAGCCTTATCTTGGCACCAGCCCCTCTGAGCTCTGCCTCACCCTGCCCACAGAGCCCTAATCGGCACAGCCAGACGTGGCAAGGGCCTCTGAGGGGCTGGAGGAGGGGGTTGTACCAGGCACCCTGAGCCCCCCAAACCCACCCTGAGCCTCCTCCTGCAGCAGGGCTGTGTGGCTGGGCTGGACAGCACCTCCTCAGAGGGACATCTGCTCCCTGCAGGGCGGCAGCAGCAGCTCTGCCACTCCCAGGACTCATCCCATGGACTCAGCAGGGACATCCCAGCCTCAGCAGTGACACCATGGCATCAGCAGTGACACNCCCGTGGCCGTCCCCTCTCCGCGCTCAGCACGCCGCCTCCGAGCTCCCGGCAGTTTGTGCACTAGTCCTGCCACCACCAGACTTTGCTCTTGCTTTGCAGAAGCTCCTCAGTGAAAGGCATGAATGTTTCACTGCCAAAGTCTGGACGTGCCCCCTGTGTTTTGTTGCCTCCCTGGAACTTACAGCTTCGTCTTAGTCATGTTCCTGCGGTTGGTCCTGCCAAAGCCTTTTGGATGCTGATTAGCTGCTGGACCTGCTGTTCTCCAGGTCTTAAGGGCTTCTTTGGGAAGTCACAGGACTTTTTCCAGTGAATTATTTATTAAAAGATATAATATTAATATGACGTGGTCTTTTTGTTTCAGTGTGAAAGCTGATCCTTCTCCTTTGGCCTCTCCTTCCCAAGCTGCCTGGTCTCCACTGTGGGTTGGAGCAGGGTTACCTTGTGGGTCTGGTCACCTCAGACCCCACCTCAGCCACACAGACTCCTGCTTGCTGTCCCTTGCAGAGTGGGGGGAGACTCTTGGAGAATGCTAATAGTAAAGATAACTGTTACTTTTTTCAGCTTTTCATGCTACTCCTAATGTGTACAAACGAAAGAATAGAGAGACCAAGATTGAGCCAGACCCTTGCGGCGCAGACTGTTTCCTGTGGCTGGTATGTTTCTCTGTCACCTTAGAAACCATGAGAGAAGTGCCCTGGCCAGCTGTGCTCTGCAGAGCTCTGTGGATCTTTTGCACAACTTGGATGATTTTTTCAGAATTAGTTCTGGTCCTTGTTGGACTCAGAGGAGCGTGACTGCAAATGCAGACCTTACCAGATGCATATTATAGCAGATCTCCAATAAAGATTAATTGCAGAGCTGGCAGATGGGAAATTGTATGACAGATGATTTCTCTGGACTCTGTGCAGTGTCAGAGAAATTAAGCCCGTGTTAAAAGGACCAGAGCGAGAAGTCAGGAGGATCCAGAGGAGGGGGCTGGGGGTTCAGGGCCAGGCAGCAATACCAAAGGGAACAAAGTGGGAACATGCAACACAAGCAGCTGGTTTGGCACTTGCTGAAGGGACCACACATGGCCAGCCTCTTCTACTGCTCTTGGTGGTGGCAGGACAGGGCTTGTCCCAGGGCCTGTGGAGAAGCCTTCCTGCATTCCCTGGTCATCTGCCACCTGTCTTGTCTTCTGCTCTGCTTGCAGGAAGGAGCCAAGGAGTTCNTCTGCTTGGGGAACAGAGCCTGGATGGATGAGCCACAGCAACCTGCAAGGCAAAGCCTTGGCTTGAAAGCAAAACACCCCTCACCACACCAGATAAAAATGCTAGGCAGTGAGGAAGGGAAAATGCCTCATCCAAGCCATGAAACTCCCAAGGACAAAGATTCCCATCAACAGGATGAAAAAAATAACAATAATATAAACAAAACCTATAAAAATAACAAAAATAACATCAGGAAACAAACAGGTTTGTGCAGTCTGGGGGCAGAAGTGCTCTGGGCTCTCAGAGCACCATAAATCCAGAGGGATGGACACACTGACAGGCTCCAAATCCAGAGGGATGGACACACTGACAGGCTCATCATCTCTGCTTGGGGAACAGAGCCTGGAGGTCAGCAGGGATGAGCCACAGCAAACTGCAAGGCAAAGCCTTGGCTTGAAAGCAAAACTCCCCTCACCACACCAGATAAAAATTGTAGGCAGTGAGGAAAGGAAACGCAATTACAGAAATGTTCCTTCAAAGTGATAAAAAGCTTTGGAGCAGCATGTGCCAATAGTGGGAAAAGGTGAGTTTGCACCTGAGATTTCAGAATATTTAATCTACAAAGCTGAAATCTGTCAATCAGCTGTTTACATGCTCCAAAACACGAGCCCCAGCTTTACCTTCATTCTCTGTATCATCTCCACTGACCAGCTCATACAGAGTGAACACAGAGTTGGTCAGGCCATTCTTGGACACCTGGAAACACAAAAGGCAAAACAGCAAATTTCATCCACGTGGCTGAACATCCTTGTCCAAACCTCTCACACACCCTGGGGTGTGCAAAACTGAGTGTGCAAAACTGAGTGTGCAAGCAGTGCTATTTCCTAAATAGCAGCCAGGGTCCCCCATCCTCATGGCCACAACCTGGTCTGGGTGTGCTCTCACCCATTGATAGATGAGCTTTCCCCATTCTTCTGGTCTCTTCCACATGATCAGGAAGCTGGTTTTGTTCTTATCCAACCATTCCAGGTTCCCTAGAAGCAACAGGGAACAGGGATTGAGGCACAGAAGTCAGAAATAAGGATTGTGAAAAATGTGTATTTTATGATTGGCTTTTCGCAAATATTAAAATGAATATTATATGTGTTGTGTTAGAAAGT